GGACGACGTGGTGAACCAGAACGTAGCGATGAAGATGCTAGCGCGCATGCGGTATGAGTGCACCGTGGCCAGCAACGGCCACGAGTTCATTCTCCCCCTGCTAGCACACCCCTTTGACCATGTGCTAATGCATGTGCAGGTTGGCTCATGAACGTGCAGGTTCTCGGTGATATGTAGTGCAGATGGGTTGTGAATGCATGTGTAGGTCTCGGGTAAAGTAATGGTCACATGTATTTACGGATCCACATGCCCTTGATGCGTACATGCCTGCACGTGCGACCTACAGGTGGGGGCATGCATGCGTGCATACTTGTGTGTGCTCATGCGTGCATGTGCGTATCACTGAGTGTTTGCATGCATGCATACATGCATGTCTCAACGCGCATCCCTTCAACCGCGTGCTCATAACTGCCCCACTGCAGATCCCAGTGATGGACCATGTAGAAGTCACGCCCTGCATCGCCACACTTTGCTGTCAACACTAGATAAGCATGGCATGCGTGCACACTTGCCCTCCCCTCTCATCCCCTCCCCGTCCCCTCTTTCCCCTCGCCCCCTCGCCAGACGCCTGAGCTTGATGGCATAGAAGCCACACGCCACATCGTGGCATGGTGGCCTGTGTGGCGCCCAGCCTGCCCGTGTCCGCCCATCTTCGCGCTGCGAGGGGAGGGCATGAAACCTCGCAAGCTATCCTCTGGGCTGCCTTTCTACTCCACGTGCCATATTATGGCACACACCTTGTCAGAAAATATGCTTGTGCAACTATCTAGACTAAGGACTATGACAAACACTTGGTGCACCACCTGTCTTTTTGGATTGGGCACACTCTGTGTACGGACCCTTTTCACATTGTACTAGTAGCACACCCTGCAGCATGCTAAGTGGGACCCACTTTTGCTGTCATCTTCTCTGCATTGTATAAACAATAAGCCCCCCGTTCTATAGCATCATCTTTTAGCACCCATGGTGGTTGGCATTTCCCACCGCATTGTCATGACCAGCACGCTAAAGATTCTGGCAAGTAAAGACGCAATTTGCCATAAATCGTACTCCTGATTATCACACAAAACCAGTGTACATCTATTGCAGAGGGGGACATTGGAATGGGGCAACGAGGGCGGGAGAGAGAGGGTGTGTGAGATACCCCTTCGGCTCTCGATGCCCTTATCGTGCCACATCCCTCAGCTCCTCGCAAATTCATTGCTCTTCCCCTCTTACCGGTATCTTTGTACCACACGAAGAACTCAGCACTAGCCGTGGGAAGAGATGCTGCTGCGATATGAGATGCAGGGGGTAGTACACGGAGGAGTGTGCGAGGCCTGCGAGGAGTTGTATTGTTGTTCCAAGGGGTCGACTGTTGGAGAGGACAAAACAGAGGGAGCGTCAGGAGGGATGCGAGACGAAGCACTGAGGGGCAAAGGGGGGGTAGGGCAGAGGGGAAATAGGCAGGGAATGGTGCAGTGAGGGGGAGCAAGGTGCAGTTTACAGAGTAGCGAAGCGTCCACCCATCCCCCCTCCCTCACCCTGCCATTATGCAGAATAACAGACCGCATAGAAAGTACTCACACACACACAGACACCCACACATACCCACACACAAATACCCATGCAGATAAATCATGTTGACTATGAGCGCCAGCCCCTTCACCTGCTGAATGCCTGCCTCGCGCGATGGGGGGGAGGGATGCAGGTGGGGAGAGAACCAGGCAGGTGGGGGAAAGAAAGAGGCAAGTGGGGAGAGAAAGAGGCAGGCAGGCAGAGAGGGAGGCGGGTGGGGAACGACGGATGCAGGAGTGGAAGGAAGGCAGGCGGGGATCATGGGAGCAAGAAGGGGTTGTCACGTTCGGGCCTCGTGGCTCGTGAGTCTGTGAACAAACACCAATTGTGGACCTCATGCAGTTGTGAATGGCTTTAACGGATGCTGCACTGTATTGCATGTGGTCCGCCCGAGTTGCAGTGCGGTGCGGAACGACATGTTGAGCAGCCAGTGCGCCATCTAGTGAACTCCCTTGGGCATGGGGCTGCCTGTGCTGGCATACACGACCTCATCTGTCATGGCCGTGGGGCACGATCTGTGCGTGGAATGAGGGGGGCGTGTGGAGACAGCGAGGAAAGGGGCGAAGGGAGAGGGGTAGGGGAAGGAGGGTATTAGGGTGCAGGTGCAGTGATGGTGTGTACTGACTCCAATGCTATGATGGATGGGCACGACATGTGTTTGGACTGGCAGCGAGAGTGTGCGTGAGGGAAAGAGGGGTTATTGGGTTGGGTGGCAGCACGTGGTGCATGGGAGCAGGAGGTGAGCCGTACCAACAGAACATGGTGCAGACGAAAGGGGCTGCACAGTGCGGGAGATCCCAATTGCGGTGTTGTTGTTAATAGGGAAGGCAGCACCTGGGGGATGTGATACCGGGGGGAGGTGGTACATGGGAGAGGTGGTACCACTCACCTTCCGCTCATCGCACATTCAGCGCTCTTCCCCTCCTCTTTGTACCATCCCCTCCAACCTAACACCAACAGTTGGATGAGATGCTGACCAAGTGATCTGAGACGTAGTGGGTAGTACACGGAGGAGTGTGCGACGGGTGACAAGGGTTGGAGTGTGTTCCACGAGACTGCTGGAGGACAAAGCAGAGGGAGCAGCAGGAGGGATGTGAGGCAAGAAGCACTGAGGAGAAGGGGGGGTAGTGGAAGGGGAAGAGGTAGGGAATGGTGCAGTGAGGCGGATCGCTTGTGCATGTTCCTAAGAAGCGAAGCATCCCCCCCACCCTGTCCCCCCCTCCACCATGTGCACTCGACTGTGGAGGGGAAGGGGGGAAGCAGAGGAGGAATAGACTCTGTCCTGAACGCATCGGGTTGAGGGGAAGTAGCGGGGCGGGAATAAATGGGAAGCAGGAAGGGCGAGGAGCGCACTGGCATTGGTGGCAGCAGACGGGAGCAATCAAGCAAGGCAGTGAGAGCAATCAAGGCAGTGACATGGGGAAGCAGGGAAGGGGACATGGGGAAGCAGGGAAGGGGGCATGGGGGGGACATGGGGAAGCAGGGAAATGGACATGGGGAAGCAGGGTAGGGGACATGGGGAAGCAGGGTAGGGGACATGGGGAAGCAGGGAAGGGGACATGGGGAAGCAGGGAAGGGGATGGGGGGAAGCAGGGAAGGGGACATGGGGAAGCAGGGAAGGGGATGGGGGGAAGCAGGGAAGGGGACATTGGGAAGCAAGGAAGGGGACATGGGGAAGCAGGGAAGGGGACATTGGGAAGCAGGGAATGGGACATGGGGAAGCAGGGAAAGGGATGGGGTGGAGCAGGGCACGGGATGGGGGGAAGCAGGGCACGGGATGGGGGGAAGCAGGGAGGGGGATGGGGGGAAGCAGTGAGGGGGATGGGGGGAAGCAGGGAATGAGATGGGGGGAAGCAGGGCAGGGGATGGGGGGAAGCAGGGCAGGGGGTGTGGGGAAGCAGGGAGGGGGATGGGGGGAAGCAGGGAAGAGGATGGAGGGAAGCAGGGAAGGGGATGGGGTGAAGCAGGGCAGGGGAGGGGGGGAAGCAGGGCTGGGGATAAGGGAAAGAATGCGAAGAGGATGGGGGGAAGCAGGGCAAGGGATGGGCGAAAGTAGGGAAGGGGATGGGGAAAAGCAGGGAAAGGGGGGAAGGAAGGCGATTATCGGAGGGAGGGAAAAGAGGGAGTGGGGGGAGAATAAGTAGGGTGAGACGTGTGCGAGACGGGAAGGGAGGCGGGAGGGAAGGCGCGGTCAATCCATGGTCACATGTAGTATTCATCGGAAGAAGCGCAGGCGACGGGAAGGGAAGGCGACGGGAAGGGAGGCCGAGGGTGTGGGAGGGCGACAGGCAGGGAACGCGATGGGAAGGGAGGGCGACGGGCGGATCCTCGCCATCGCGAAAAAGGACTTGCCTGTTGGCTGCGCAAAATCTGCATAAAGGTTACTTTTTGGATACTTTGGTTTTGCAGCTTGGCAGTGATGGACCAAGGTTGCAGAAAACCGAGTCACCGGAAGGCTGAAAGAATGTTGCAAGAAAGTTGCATTTCTGCAACTCTTGCGCAACTCTTTGGACACAATCCTGTAGACGTTCAGACACCTTTCCGCAAACTTCCGCCCACTTTCATGTCACTAACAGGTTGCCGCTCACTTGCGTACAGGTTGTGGAAACATCACCCCGCGGTTGCACCGAACTCCGTTACAACGCGGCGCCACCGTGGCATACTTCGTACGGTGTTCCCAAGAAACATGCACCAATCATACTCGCGCACGTTTGAAATGTTGACTGGCACACACCTAAGTAACCCCAATTCGCCCACCAATGTTCAGCCTACGCGGCCACCCTCGTGCACCACTAGCGCGCCTCCCCGAACCATGCAACGCCCAATCGCATAACGTCACCGAACACCAGCGCGCGCACGACGGAACCCACTGTAAGGGCCGCATTTGCCGCGGCACGAGCGCCCCGCCCAATGAAGCCGATGCTTTATAGTAACCCGGTGACCACCACCGTCCCCGTCATTGGCTACATTCACCGTCGCAGGCCTAATTCGCCCCATCGCGGCCCCGCCGTCATCCGCATACTTCTCAGACCCCACCCAATCAACGCGCACACCGAACACCATCGGCAACTTCGTCACAGTGTTACCATATCGGAATACACTCGATCTGCATCGTTGCACACCCGCACAACGCCTGCATCCTAGAGTCTCGGCGGCTCGATCGCGGTGTACACGGCGTGAATACCACCCGTCGATCACATCGCGTCGCGCATTACGCCCACCATCGGATAGCGATTGTCTGGGCCCCGTATACGCTCGAATTGTCCGCGTTATTGCGCACACGTTATCGTGACATGCGTTCATATGACACACCCTGCCTCGTCGCGAAAGTATCCCCCGTTTAAAGGTGCTATTTTCTAGTTACACGACAATACCAGCATAATACAACACACACGACACTGACCCCACAAACCCTACACTACCTACACGCATAAATCACAACATCAGGCACTACCACGGGAAACCGATGCTCCTTCCTCCACAGCTGGCGCCCTCTGCGCATACCGGCCGGGAATCAAGTGCTCCAGCCTGCACGAGGACAGCATCAGCCCATGCTCCCCCCAGACCCACGCCGCCGCATCAGCATCGTACTTGGGCTTGAAGTCTTGGATCGCTTGCGCCACTGCCGCACCGGCGACCTCGTGGAGCCCGTTCACCACCTGCGCGTTGCCGCCAGCAGAGTTTGACAGGCGGGCCTTGCACTTGTCCCAGTTCAGGATCGTGTCCGTCACCTGCGCGTAACAACAAACATGTCTCACACTGGCATGAGTCCCTTGCACGGGTCGGAGTAACGGTGCATGTGATGCAACTCACCACATGCTCGAGCCATGCCATTTGGTACAGCTTCACAGTCACAGTCCCAGTGACCCTCTTGGGCTGGAAGGCGGTCATGGCACAAGCAGTAAAGGCTCCTGACGCAAAGATCATGCCGCTCTTGCTCTCGCTCCAGGTTGACAGAGTGAGATCCTCTGCACACACAATCGACCAACGCAACACGTTGTCAACAAACCTACACACATCATCCCTGTTTGGTGACAGCGATGCCGCCTACCGTTCACATCGTCCAGAACGCGATAACGAAGCCGAACCTCCGCAGCCTCTCTCCGTTTTGCGCGTGCCCACGGACTTTTTGCATCTCTTGCGTGGCGCCATAGACCAATGCGCGGCAGCGCAATGTCTCGTACGCGGCCTGTGACTTCCGTCTTCCACTGGCTCAGTGTCTTGTTCAGGTCATCGCGACGCGTCTTGTCGGCCGCCAGTGCGATACCTGCATACTTCAGCGCCAGGCGTGGTGTGACCCAGCATAAACCAAGGGTCTTGTCATAGCTGCTTGGATAAAAGGTCATTGCATCATTCGCCCGCTCTATAAACAGGTACTCCCTCGCATGATCGCATGTTTTCTGCCAGGACAATGGGAGTTCAAATGCAGGGATACATTCGAGGCGCAAAGAACCGCGTAGCGGACATCCGACCAACACCGTTGACGCTGGATGCTAGAAAAGAACCCATCCCTGGTCACTCACCTTCCATGCCTTTCCCGCCGGCATGTTTAAACGCCTCCTGAAGTATGGGGGAGCTTGACACCGTCATGTGGCGCCTCCTTCGCTCACGGCGTGCCCTCACGGGCTCCGCTTCCGCCTCCTCCTCATCATCTTCAGCCGATGATGCGTCCTCCGAGCCTGATTCGACCTGCCTACGCTTGCTCGACCGCGCATCACCTCGCGCCCGCTCCTCCCCCGGACCCCTCGGCCTCTTGTTCTGCACCCTCAGATCCTGTGCGGCCAGCAGCAGCGCCTCCAGGCGCGCAATCCGACGGTCGCTGTCGTCCCTCGCCGTCTTCAGCGCCTCGAGCTCGGCACGGCTTATGACGACGTTGTCATTTGCAAACGTCTCCTCTCGTTGAGATCCACTTGCCTGCTGCGCAGATGCGCAAGGCATCGCCACAAAAGGGTTGTCCGGCACTGGGGGAGGCGGTGCCGTATCCGCCTTGTCGTTCGCCGTACCAGGCGCGTCTGCTATAACAGAAGCAACCGCTTTGGAACAGACCGGCGCAGCCTCACCTTCGCCATCGCTACCGACCGCCTCATCACCTGCGCCGACGCTTGACGCGACCGCCACATTCGGCGTGACTTGGGATGCACCCTGGGCCGCACTAGCCACTCCTGAGCGCAAGTTGAGCACAACATGGAAGAGAAATTTTCACAACAAGATATGGCGCCAAAACAAGTGTATCTAACACAACATGACGCAAATAACCCCCCCCCCCCAATCTACCTTGGACAGGGACACACTTCTGCTTGGCAACCCTCGGACGCTTGTACGGCCCCGCGTTCCCCCGCACACATTTCGGCTCACGAGACCGTTTACCAGTCAACATATGCTCGTTTCGGAGATACTCCGGGGTTCGCTTTGGCCTCTGCGACCGGCCTGCAAGCAGTTCTTTCGACGTCCCCAAAGAAGTTTCCATTCCGGACGGGTAAAGCGAAATAGCCACCTAAGCCGCACACCATATAGCAAAAGTATGCATATTCCAGCACCTTACAGTTCCAGGGACCTTATGCCCATAGCACGTATCGTGCACATGGACAACGACTGTGCGCGGGTACGCAATCTCGGCAGCCAATCACTGCTGGTATACTGGTGCATCCCCGATCTCACACGACACGTGTGATTCACTCATTGCATCCCTCGCGATCCTACCCCCAAATCATTCTGCTTACTGCCACAGTAACGCTCGTGATCAAATGCGGGTATACCCAATGTATTCGTTATACACACCGATTGACAACACCTTATACATACCCTACTCTACATCATGCATCAATTTGGAGATATACGTCAAACTCGACATACTACTTGTAAACACATACAATATCAAAAATCACCCCATCATCACAGCCTCTGGGTCTACATCAAACATTGCCCCATCAAATGCATCACCCAGCGCAACCCCCGTCTGTATCCCCTGTTCCGCCATACCATCCATCGCTTCAGCAGCCTCCTCATTGATTTCATGTGGAGTGCCCCGCCCAGCCTTTGCGTATTGAATACCGCCCATCCCTTCCCCTTCCAACTCTATCTCCTCCTCCCCCTCTTGTGCGGCACATCCAACAACATCCTCCCCTTCATCATCTTGCGACTCGGAACGCGCTTCTCCCTCCCCTCCTGTATCCTCTTCCGGACAGTCCGCTAATGCCGTCTCCCACTCCGTCCATCGGAACCACTGTCGGCCCTTAACCAGCCGCTTGAAATCTGACAAGGTGCACCCCTTCAGCAGACCCTTCTCCTCATCCGACAGCTCCACTGTTCCGGATACATGCTTACAATCCTTGACCACGTGCACCGCTGCTGCGTACGCCGTGGCAGCCTCCAGCTCCTTGCTGTACGCACCCAGCCTCATCTGCGTGCGCTTCGCCTTATTCTTCTCCCGGAATAAAATCTTGGCGCTCCACTTTCCACGCTTCTCCTTACGCACACCCTTGAACTTTGAACTACATCTCTGTCCCTTACCCTTCCTCTTGCAACCGGGCACGTCACCCTCAACATCGCTCCCCGACGGAGGCGTGGCGTCGCGTTTCCTCTTTGCCGGCATAGCCAACACCACTGGCCTTGTCCCACCTGCATGAACGACCGAAGGCTTTGCCTGGTGCGTGATGGGCACACTTCCCGGTGTGCCTTTCAGTGACCAGATAGGCGTGGCCAGCACGGGCAGCACGCAGGGACTCGGATGAACCACCCCAAGCTCGACTTTGGCTAATCCGGCACCGCACTGGGCAACACTCGCATGCGGATCGCCTTTGGAACTGGGGCTGTCTGTAACGCTTGGCCGCGCACCTGCACGGGGGTTGGGGGTGGAGGGTGCGGTGGATCGGCTGCAGCCAGGTGTCGCCGCTTCCCCTTCAGAATCTTGCGCCTGCAAGACGTGGGCAGCTCCAGCAAGGAGCTGGTCGACACTGTAGCCCATAGCAGCTCCGACGGCCGTGACGGCTGCTTTCCAGATCACCAGGTCCCTCTTCATGCCGTAGTGCTCCACCTGCATCCGTGTCAGCTTTGTGTTGCCGTCCTCCCCTCCTGAATCGACAACGGCTCCATGCTTAGCAACCCTGGGCGCGGGTTGCTTCGGGACGACCACCCCCAGTTTCACAAGCGCCGGTACAAGGTCATCAGTCGCATGCATGCATAGGTCTCCCCGCATGGCCCGCCGCATCTCTAGCGCACTGACGCCCTCCAAGTACAGATACGAGCGCAGTGTCTTGAAATCAGTATCCACAAGGACCTTCAGGAAGTGGCATACAAAATGCCACAGTCATGCTGGTTGTCCTGCTGCTGCACCTTATGCTTCTGCAAGCACGTAAAATACCACCAGAGGCATTTAGCACACAAGGACGTAGTATGTATGCCCGCCTACAGCACAAGTCAGGCAGTGATCTAGGACCCACCTTCATGGGAACTGGTTTAGCGTCCCTCAGCGCGGTCACAAGAGTGGTCGCGTCACACTCAGGGTGTAGGTCCTTGGCGGTGAGTTCCAGGAACCTGGGGCATCAACAACACAGGGTGAGAGTCAAACCTCACCATGGGAAACGCCAATACCACTAACGCATCACCATGAGCATTCAGCATCTTACAGTTTGACGCCATCAAACACAGACGGGTCATCACGATGCGTGCCATAACTGTCGAGAAGAATCAGCTCCAGAGGCGCCGTGTCATCCTCCGACGTGGCACGCAGCAGTCTCTTTGGGGACGGCACGATCATCAGCGAGTAGTGTGAACTGCCACATGGCGTGGAAAATGGGATAGTGCGGCGGTAAAAAGCAGGGGTACACTGGGAGTGGTCACAAAGCCGGTGCCACACATCACCGTTACTAACCTTTTGAAGATGGGAATAGCCAAATAGTCCACATCAAAAATTCTGTCCGATTTGCCCATAGAGTATGGCTTCTTGAACATGTTGCAATAGTCGAAAGCCTTGCTGTTGACCACGGCCCATGTACTGCCGTTGGGCGTAGTGGGGTGACGAATGCTCAGCAACCTGCGTGCAGTCCAACCATTGACCAGTCAGGAAATGTGCGATGTCACGCCAAAACCGGAGCATAGGCAGGCCAAGACTTGGTGATCCAATCACCCGGGGTCCACCCACACATTGTGGAAGTCTACGATGGCGTCGGTGACACATTGTCCGTCAGCGATGGTGATGATATCCGACGCCTCCACGACACAGCCAACGCCATCCGCGTTGAACAGCGTCAAGAGCTTCATCTTTTCAGGGTGTTTTGCTGTGCGTAAGCGATAGACAAGGTCGTGAGGCTCTGGAAGCTCCGCCTCTGTCTCCAGCTTGGTCGTGTACATCTGCGCTGGAACATCGCCTCCGTCCGGCTTCTTGCCTTCTTTCTTGGTAGTGTTGTCGTTACAGGTTTGACGCCTACCGCTACGGAGGCAACGCGCAATAGTTCCGACCTCCGTAACGTCTCCATCGCTTCCTGTGTTTAGACCCTTAGTTCCGCGCGGGGATCTGCCCTTCGTAGCACACTGCTTGTCGTGGGCTCGCCCAAGAGAGGACATGTCTGATCGGGAGGCCTGTGCTAATGGAAAGCTACGTGACGGGAATGAGTGAGTATGCTGTGGTGTCCAACTTATGAAAAATAGGACCAAGCGTGAACAAAGGCATTGGGCCACTTTTGGGATGCGCAGGAAAGCCTCGGCCTCGGAAAAGATGTATGGATCTGAACGACTTTTGGCGCGCAAACCTAGGAGCGTGACACTTGGCGCGTCACCATGACATGCAGATCACAGTGGCACGCCCAAAGTGTACTCGGTATGATGTTGGTCGCTTGTCGCAGTGAGCATTTTGTTACTCTCGAATGTGTTCACGGGTTTCATAGGTCGAATACGCGACTTACTCAGGCGCCTATAAGAACATCCGATCAGTCCGAATTTGTGCACTCGGTAATTGCATTTCAATGCTCGCTTATGCAATTGAGACTGACTACTTCCAACAAAGCGTGCGTTTATACCGAGAACACTGTGAGGGCCTTTTCTGCCGCACCGAACTGTATACTAAGTTTGAGGACGGCAATTTTAGGGTTTGCGATGGTATCATGGGTGGCAACGAGTGCGGGGGATGCAGAAAAACGTTCCGTGACGACAACAGGCTGCAGTCGCACTTGGCTAGTAGCGAGGCATGCCGAGAGAAGATTCTAGGACGGGGGAAAGTCCTCCTCACAGAGGCATATCTGGAGGCCCGTCTGGCATTCTTGCGCATCCCTCCCCGTACACCCGCGGGTACCACCGCCAGTGGCGGCACCAGTGAGAGGTCATCGGAGAAGAGAACTGCTGCTCCGACAGCTGCCGAGGTAGAGCATAGCGATGATGACGATCACTCTACATGTAGCGAGAAAAGTTTCGACGGAAAGATTTTTGACACCCTCACTGCGATATACCTCTTCATCATAGACTCGGACCTCTCGCGACGCGAAGTCAACCGCTTGTTGCATATCTTCAGAAATCCGAGATTCAACCTGCGTGCATTGCGGCGCTGGTGCAATTGGCTGGACGTGAGACGATGGGGGGAAGCAAGGGCGCCTCCGGACATGGTCCCGTGGTTGTGCGAGGAGATAGTGGTCAGAGGGCCGCGCGGTCAAACTCAGAAGCTCCCTCTGCACTACAGGAACACGGAGGAGGTACGTCCATATCGTCATGTGCCTTCCCAGTGTAGGGATTGTTGGGAGCACGGAGATACTCGCATTCCACGTGATCTAATGTCGCCTGGTGCCTTTCCAGCTAGTAAGAAGATCGTGCGCATCTTTGCGGGAGTTAAAGGGTTCGTTACAAAACCGCGGACAGATGTGGACCCCAAAACCAACGAGCGGATTTACACCGACCCTGACACAGCGAAATGGCTTGAAGAGGCTCAGGTACGGGAAGCTACACATACGGCCGTGCTCGGGTGGGCTGACGTGTCTCCATATGCACTCAAAAGCACGAGCTCATGTGTGGCAGAAGGACGTGAACGACCCATCAGCCTGGGTGCTTGGCGTCATTGCTTACAGTAACGGCACCAACGCCACGCGAAATGGGCGCCGCCAGGCATGGCCCGTCCTCATAACGCTGGTCAACTTATCGGAAGAGCTGCGGAAGACGGAACCTGGCCACGCACTGGCTGCTGTGCTGCCTTTCCCCCCCGAGTGGGCAACATCTACCGAGAAGGCCAGAGTGTTTCAGGAGGTGATTTGGATCATCCTGGCGCCACTCATGCGGGAGTCCTCCACGTATGTGTGTCTGCCAATAATGCTGCAAATACCATGCATGTGGTTAGGTTATATGGATGTTCCGGTTGTAAAAGATTGTGTCGTTTCCCGTGTTCTTTACATCGGCCCATGCAGTGCTCCTATGAGAGTCTTCTATGTCACGGACGTGAAGGGTGAGCCGGTTAAGGCCATGCCATGCTTCTTTGGATACCCTGGCGACTTCATCGAACAATGCAGAGTCACTGCGACGCTGCAAACAGGCACAAAGCGGCCGTGCTGCACATGCTACGTTCCGGACGAGCTCCTTCGAGACATGGAGCATACGGACACGCCGCGGACAGTGGACTCCGAGATGCATGTGCTGCGCAACATGCTTGCGTGCAAGACTGTGAAAGAGGTGGAAGCGATACAGACCGAGTGGTCAACTCATCCCGCGGAGGTATGGGTCTAGTGGTGTTTGGGCTGGTCGCGGGTCTCACAATTGCCTAGGCTGCACCGTAAAACTTGAGCCCCTCACAAACTTGCGACCCCACCATGCAGTGCGTGTTGTCGCGGTGGAACTTCTCGCACACGACGTGGGGAAACCCGTTTGGTGCATGCGTTGCTGACATCATGCATGTGCTGGATTCGGGGATGGCACTGCACCTGCTGGAGAACAACATCGCGGTTCTCAGCAAGCCAGGGAGGCGGGATGTTGAGAGGTGAGTAGCTCCGGTTCACTGAATAGAGTATGCAATGGAAACACTGTATGGTGAATGCATTGGCGGTGTCTTGGTGAACGGTTCTTTACTCACCCTCGTCTCTGTGCCTATCCCCGGGCACACTAACCCAACAGGCGCAAGAAGACAACCAAAGGAGAGACACCGAATGTACTTTTGCGCCTGCCTGGAGGCAGCTCCTACTTCTTGAGTGGTGCAAACTATGCAGCCTTCGAACACCGCAGCATGATGCAGGTGATGCCCATCCTAGTGGTCGACAAGTCAGCGCTACAGCGCGCTCCGCGTGCGGGCTTTCAGGGTGTATGCCACGTTCTACAAGGCATTTCTGGGGGTCAGCTGACACACGGAGGCCTCTCTCGCAATCGCCCGTGCCCATGCAATCAAGTATGTCGGATGGCGGGTGACGGTGTGGGGGTTGTGGGCGGCCTTGAATGCATCGCTAGGCTGTCGTTGCAGTCTCTGGTCATGGCATGCACAGAGTCACCAGATTCCACTTGCGATGTGGTGTTCTGCATGCTGGTGGAGATTTTGCCGCAGGCCTATCCGGACCACGCCTCGCATTGGCGATTTCCCAAGATTCACATGATTGTCCACTTGCTGGACAATGCGATCATGCGCGGGATGCCGCACCACTACAGCACGGAGATGTGGGAGCATACCCACAAGGGGACAATCAAGATACCGGTCAGGGGCAGCAACTGGAAGGACATCCCCCGGCGGATCGTCGAGGAGGAGGTGCAGAGAGAGATCTGCAGGGAGGTGGCACAAGACGCGGGTGGTGGGCGTCAGTATGCGACCGCTCTGAGGGAGGTGAGCCAGTGTGTGGGGGGAAACAGTGTTGCTGTTCTTCGACGTTAACATGCCCCGACCTGACCCGTCCTACTCTTGGTGATTTTCTCAATCGTAGTCGTGGTATACGGTTGCCTGCCCACCACGGCAGGCGGTTGAGACCATGAAGCCCGTGCTAACGAGGAAGGGCCGCACGATGCGGCCAGAGGTGGAGGGCGACGCTGTGATGGCCACCTACCGTACCGCGCTGGGAGATCTCATGGACTCGCTGCCAGGGTGCATGGTGGCTGCGAACATCACGGCATCAGAGATTGTGGTGCGTGATGTGCAGCCCGGGGCCACCGCATGTGTGGGGGGCCCGCGATGTCGTGTAATGCGGGGGACGGTTGCTTTTTGCCGAACCCTACTGATCAAACGCGAGCCCTCGTCTTCCCTTGCCCCACTACTGCAGGCCCACACGGCTGTGGCGATTCCACGCACGAAGGGTGGGGCACTGGTCTCCAAGGGCGCGTTCATCAAGGCAAGCCCCAAGGAGAAATGGTTCACGGACATTGCTGTGAAGTCGAACAAGAAGAAGGAAGAGTGGTACGCCAAGGCGCTCTGTATTTTCAAGGCGGCCACGGCTGACGGGGAACGGAGGGGGTTTGTGTACATGCGGTGGTATGAACAGGTGGGGGTATGCCCACTCACCACCTGCGTGTAGCTCACACCGTCCCGGAAGGAGATCAGGCATGCGGTGGTTGCACTGGAGAGCATCGAGCGGATAGTGCACATCTGCCGCTCTTTTAGCAACCCACTGGTGTTGCTACTCAACAAGTTCTTGTTGTGCGAGTGAAATGTGGGCTGGCGGTTGAAGAGCCACTGAGGGATGAGTGTGAGGGATGTGGGAGGGCAGATGTGGATATCAAGAAGTGGAAACAATATAGGCTGTGGATGTATGTGTGGGTTGGCCATGTCACAGACAAGTACTGGTTGCCTAGGTTGTATACTAAACTCACAGGTGACATATGAGCACAGTCGATACCTTGGCTCTGCGAGGCATGAGTGACTTGCCATGGAATGCGCACGCTTTTGACCCTGAGTATACTGTATTGGAGACTCTGGGGGGCGGGGGTTCTGATAATTTAATTGTGTGCCTTTACGTTAGTGAGAGTGGATTTGCGGGGAATTGTTATTGATGGTTTCGCATACTTGTGGAGCATGCTGTATCGCGATCTCCTGATGGTTGACATTCCTCGAGCTGCGTTTACCGCCAGGGGACCGAATGTTGTGTTCTGAGGCGCAGGTACATTGCGGGTTCGAGATCAGGTGGTTGGAGGAAGTGTTCGGTTGAGGAGTGGATGCAATCCTAAAGGTATGCAACCATTGGTCAGCAGTTTCCCACTATTGGTGGATACTGTCGGTGTAGGTTGGTGTGGCGATTGCATCCAGGGTACGGGTTTCCGATGGGACGCTGAGGTGGCGCATTGGTGGGCACAAGAGGAGGTCACATCCGCTGCGTGTTTGGCACTAGAGGGTGTTAAAGGGTGGAGGGTATGGATTGTTGCGTTGTCACAGTGTCTGCATACTCTCGACATGGCATCTCTTGTAACGC